ATCAACAGAGGGGACGTGTACCGAAGATTTCTGGCGAATGTCTGGAGGTTTGACGCTTTTTGTGAGTCGTTGTTCGCTACTTACGCTGAAAACAGACCCTTCAAAAAATGTACGATGATGCGCCCGATACGTACCAAGACGAAGCAGCCGAAGCTCTCACGAAGCTCTATGGCTTTAAACTCGACAAATGGGATGTCTGCCGCGCCCTCAAACGACTCAGGTACACCTACCATAAGGTCAGCACGCTGACACTCCATCCATGGATGTACTGGAGAGGCTGACAGCCTACTAGTTGGAAGAAACAGCCGCCCAGCGCAACGAGGAACTACGTGCGCATCATACTATGCTCATGTCACACTATTCTGCGGAACAGTTGATGTATCTCGACGAGTCCGGTGTCAACGAATCCAATGCTCGGCGGACCCATGGATTTGCTCCCAAGGGCAGAAAAGCCAGGGTATCGAGAGTCCTCAAACGTACACCCGGATGGTCCATCCTCCCAGGTCTTACAGTTGATGGATTCGTGGCCCTGCACATCTACCAAGGTGCTTACAATGCGGACCTATTTTACGACTTCGTCGAGAAAGAGGTTCTCCCAAACACAACACCCTTCCCAGGGCCTCGATCTGTGATTGTAATGGACAATGTGCGCTTTCACCATGATCCCAGAATTGCAGAAATCCTCTCGTACCGTGGTCGGAAATGCATCTATTTACCGCCGTATTCGCCAGATCTGAACCCCATTGAGGGATGCTTCGGTATAATGAAGCAGTATATGCGCAAACATAGCAAGGATTCGACTGATATCATTACAAATCCCTACTACTTTTACTGGGAAACCGCGAAATCCTCGATTACGCCCGAGATAGCAAGGTCCATGTTCCAGCATGCTGGGATCTCTGCAGAAGTCACACAGAGCTTCTTTTAGGTCTTATCTATCAATAGCTTAAGTTTCAGCTCAGAATACAATCTTACCCTTGAGTTCTTGGCCGTTGTTCTTGTACGCTGAATGACCATGAAAAGGCAGCCGTGGGATGTGGGGAGCATAACTGCGCCACAGCTGACGCCACACGCTGGAAAAAGGGTTGTGAGAGGTGACATCCTAATGGTGGAAAGAGTGCGTTTTGCGCTTTCAGACAAGCCCTTTTTGACTTCGTTGCGACCATTTTTGCGGGGGTTATAAGCTCATGAAAAGCGTGGGATTCCCGTATGCAGGAGTTTAAGGCCGCATTAGCTCGCATGATCATGCATACGGAGAACTTCGAGGCCGTTGATTGAAGAGAAAACGAATAACTATATGAATTTACATCTCCCAGAGCTGAGAGTGGTACCATCTTGATCACCGAGGTCGACTCTATCATCCTACGCGCTGCTGGGCTTCCGCTTCCTGCGGTAGTGCAGCAAGCGGTCGTAGTTCCCTCGAGTGATTCCCATGGATTTTGCGCCTTCCCATGACAGATGTTTGAGCATTTTGACGTCATAGTCAGCTTCAGTGAGCCTATTAAAGTGTTCCTCATCAGAGAAGGCGCGCGCTTCAGACTTCTCCTTGACGTATTCCAAGAAATCCCTGAGCAACGACCCTTCAGCATCCTCCTCGATTGGTGGACTTGAACGGGGGTCTGCTGGAGACAGCTGACGCTGAACAGTGTGCTGCATCATAGGCGCCATCGGCCACATGGGTGGGAGCATTGGGTAAGGGTAAGGGAGCCCAGGAGATTGGGGCATGAAGGTAAACGGCAAAGGGCTGGAGTTATTTGTGCGGGGCGTTTCCGCGCCGGGATTGTCCGTATTGAAGTATTTGTCGAAGCGCGAACCTCTGGGAGGGTTGTGGAGGGTTGCAATGGGTGTCTATCCTACCATACCCGCTGCCCAAGCCGCAATGTCCTCCTCCATCAATCTCATATGCTTCCCATTGCGCACAAAGCACTGCCGATCGCACTGAAGGCAAAAGTACGTGTCTTTTAACCTCAAAATCATCTCTCGATGAGTTGCGGTATCCGTGGGGAGCTGGGCTACCATTTGCGCATTGACGGTTCTGCGGCCCTGCTGCGAAGAGGGAGGTGCACCTATCAGGCACGTTAAATTACGCGTTTCCGCGACATAGGATGATAAAACAAACTTACTTGAGTCATTTGACGCGCCTTTCTGCGTCCCTATCAGGAACAATTCAACATACTTGCGGGCACCGCGAATTAACCCACAGCGAGATTGAAGCTGATTCCAGTCGGATTCTGTGGCAAAAATTCACCTCCCCCTCCTTCGAACGGGTTGGCCCAAGCTTCATATCATAGGTCCAGGTGAATAATATGGCGTCATCTTCACTGAGACGCAAAGCTTGGAACCCTAACTCCCTCAACTGAACTCGAGCCATATCCCAGACCTGGGCGATCTCGAAATCAATAACCGACGCCGGATTCAACTTCCCCTGGGTTCTTACAGCAACCTTGGTCTGCGGGATTGGCGATAGGTCGACTGGTGGAGCTGCTGGTGGAGGAGAGAGGTCCTCTTGGATGGTACGAGACCTTCGAGGCAGGGGTAGCTCAGGCTCAGGGGCATCCTCGGGAGCCGGACGACGGGATGGGATTGAAGGGGAGGGTGAAAAACGCGTGTGCTCACCCCTCCCGCTACGCCTGGGCCTCTGAATAGATGACATTGTGGATGAAACGGTCATTTTTTTGCGATTTGGAATACAGGGCGTGCGCAGGGGCGCATGCACAAACTATAGTGCAACTGAGAGTATCTCACAAACCATTGACCGAGGTACGTCGGTTTATGGGCAGGTCCATCCCCAAGTGCCTTGACTGGGGACAAGTGAACAGCCATTTTGTTAGGGAAGTCGTCTGTAGGAAAAGCTTCAAAGATAGTTATATTTGTATAGATATAACTAATCTCGTACAAACTACTACAAGATTCCCAGCTAAGCTGCATTCGATGGCTCGTGAAGTTGAGTGGGGTTTCACTTACCGATCAAGTGCCTCCTGCGTTAGCGCATACCCACAGTTCATATACAGATTTGTATTTTTGACCGATCAGACTTGATATTAGGGGACCGAGACCGGGATGACGTAACACTGACGTAAGACACAATCACTGGTAAGACCAGGCCCAAACCAAGACTGACATAAAAGACGTAACAAGGTGGTTGAGGGCGGTTTGTATGCGGAGCTGGAACAAGGGATGACTTGGTTGAAGAATACTTGAAGTGGCGTAGACGAAGGAGATACCCAAGAGGTTAAGGAACTTTCTTGAGCTGGTGATACAGTAAGGTCTTGGTTTTCTCAAAGACTCTTGTTGCTAACTCAAGAACTAGAGCAGTGGGGGGGAAACACACCCCTTTATATACTAATCCAGGCTAAGTTCCACTGTGACCTTCCTTCCGCTGCGGCCGTCCTTCTGCCGCGCCGCTAAGGAGCTGTATCACGTACCATTAAATGACTCACTGAAAATAACTCAACAATCAAACCACTAATACGCAGAACTAAAACATAATATAACACATAATAATAAGAGTGTGGGAACCCCGAGGTCATGAAGCCATTCATGACAGTGCGGGTCTTTCCCATCCTTCCAATGGAGGATAATATTGCGTCGCTCTGTATCGGTAGTGACTTCACCGAGCATTTTGAGGTCTTTCTGAGCTTCCTAGACCTTACAATGGTTTGTTCGTTGGTATTCTAATGGTCCCGGTTCCATGGAGTTTGAGGACCCTGGCGCATGTCGCAAGAAAATCTCACACCGCTGTAACGACCAGCATACAGCTAAGCGCAATATTCTTCACAAATGAGCGTTTCATGGGCCCCAGCATGGGGTTGTCACATCAACACTAGATCAGGGTAGCTAAAGGCCTAGACTGTAAAGTGAAGACGGCTATGGACAGTCCAGACGCCCAGCAGTCGATTGGTGTCCTCCAATCATCTGTAGCTTCACTCTTCCTGCCGTCGTGACATCACAAGGTCTTTCAGTGGCGATGCAGACACTGCATATCCGTGCATATCCGTGCATACAACATCATCATGTTGAAGCTCATAGAAAGCCAAGAAAGCCAACACCATTGAGCACATCCGCGGTACATATGATTCTGAGCTCCCTCTATCATATGGCACCCCATGCACTGCCATTGGGTAGCTTATGGAGGGGCCTCCAATCACAACAAGCTGAAGCCCCCTCCCAACATGATTATACACAATAGACGCTTTGAAAGTGTCAGACGTACCACTGGCTGGGGTAAGTCTCTATGAGAGGATCTCAGAAATTGTGATATACTCGAAGAGAAGGTTGTATTGGATGAGTATCCTAAGGTGGCATAAGGCCTGGCTTATATAGTTTTCCATGTACGTCCAATGTACGTCCAAGTGTACGTCCAAGTGTACGTCATGATGAGTCATGACGCCGGTGCCGTGCCATAACTAAATGACTCACGCAATCTAAGTAAGACGAGGTGTTACACCAGCTCATCAAACTCATGCGCAGTAATCAAACCATATGCCAACTAATTTAACTCTGCTAAACGAGATGTCCACACACGTATGACAGAAAGCGAGAAGTGGGACACTGCATGGTTCATAAAGATAAACGCAATCATTTTGACACTCTACCTGCACTCCCAGACCTTTATCTGTGTTGTTTGAAGGGTCTTTGTGATTCCAAGTTTTGCTATTCGCGCGCTCTTGCATTTCGCGTCAAGAATTTTGCACTTGGCAGTACTGGCAAGAATTAAAAACTGCATTGATACGTGCAACTCTCTAGTGACTTTCCCCCATGATATACACCACATCAGTCTTCTTAAGAACCGTTGCTGCCTCCGGATTGACGACCACGTACGGAAGAGCAGCGCCGCGATGCGCAGTGGTCCGGTATAAGCCGATTGGAACCTTGCTTTGCCGAAAGAGATAACGAACAAGAGCTCCATATTCTCGTCCTGCCTCGGGTCAAAAACTGTATATTCCGCATAGAGGACCGACTTACCGATGTATTTCTCCATGATTGGACTGCTGGTGATCGGAGCAGCTCCATTGACTTGTTCCGCCAGCGGAGCAATACCAAGGAAAAGTTTGAACAGATAAAGAACATGACGATTGTGGAAGCTGTAACTTCGCGTTAGTGATTTGTGACCACTTAGAGATCACGCCAAGATACCATTGGGAAATCAGAGGCTGAATTTGTGATCCGGAAATGACATGCCCGCTCATGAAACTGGGCCTTACGAGGGCTTGAACCCAATCGGCCTCAGGAAACCCTATGGCGGATGTTAGCTGATGCAAAGTACCCAAAAGTGTAAGTGTACGAAAGAAGCTCACCAAAGGTTTCGGACTCTCCGATCAGTTTGAACGTCTCACGCTGTGAGCAAGCTATGACAATGAGTACCTCTTCACGTTCATTCATGGACTCGATGTTTAACGCGGTCAAGAGCGTCATAGCATCCGCTGTTCTGGAGCTATATGGCGTTGTTAGTTAAGCACAGCAAAACGTGATGGTTGGCTTACTTCGACTGCTCCTCGAGTGGACCTAACACCACAATCTTTGCCGCCTTTCTCACGTTGCACAACTCCAGATCACGCCGACTGGTCCCACTGCCCGAAACGTACATGACGTCCGTCCATTCATTCAGAACCTCGGCAAGAATAACATTGGGCCCGAGAATCACGATGTACCGTCCTCGTTCTTTCGGATCAAGACTTTGACGGATGGTCGAGACAAAGGCATTGAGCGTCGTCGTCGATGGGTGCGAGCAGTCACAAACAAGGATATGGTCTTCGAACTTTGTCGAGAAGATATCGTTACCCTTCAGGGGCAGTGGCTTCTGTGGGGGTGTCCGGTGGAGCTCAGCGTCTTGAGGGATGAGCATGTGCGGTCCCCCATCACTGGAGATCCGCTGTACTCTCGGTCGTCCATCACTGCCGTTGGGTGGCGAAGTTGAGACGTTCCCCTCCAGCAGCGGCGTCTGTTCGTCTACGGGCATATCGAAGGTTTGCGCCTTCCTGAAGAAAGATAGCTTACTCTTACTTGCCATGGTCTTCCCCGCTCCTGGACCTCGAGGAAGAATCCTAGTCGTCTTCGCCATAGCTGCGCTTTTCTGTGTCCCAGGCAAATCAGCTGGCACGAAACGCGAAGGTCCACTGGCCTCACTCGCTTGATTACCGAACACCTCGGAGATGTCAAGCCCACCATCGGCCATACCGAACGTGGCAACCAGATCCGCTGCCTCAGCATCTCCTGCAATGACGAAAACATGTTCAGATCCACTGATGATGCGCTTCGCAGGGTTGAGAAGGACCTCGAAGTGTGCGTGACCCTCAACACGCGCCGAATCTTTCGGCTCGTGCTGAACTGCAAGGCCTACGAGGAGTATGCCATGAGCAGCAAACAAGACTTCTGCGGCCTCAGAGAATGTACAGCCAACAAGATGTTCCGAGAAAGTCGTGATGTACGTTTCACAAGAGGCGCCAGCAATATACTCCTCCATAAAGTCGAGATGGCTTTCTCGAGCTCGCCTGAGGAGGTCTTCTGCTGTACCAGTCGCTATGCTCGTGGCTAGTAAAATGAGAAGACTCGACAAACCTGGCACCAAGATACTCTGTGCCAACAGCCCCATCACCAACTCCGGCGTACACACGACCTCATTGGCCAAATACTCAAAGTGACTCGCATTCTCCGCCTTCAAAATCTGCGCATAAAGTCTCATGTGCCGATTATACTTCTTCAAACTCAAAGCCGCCATCATCTGTTGCGCGTCCATTTCATCCAGGTCATCCGATTCTGGTTCAGAATGATGGGCGAGGAGGAATGCGGCGGACGCAGAGGCTGCTTTGACTTTCTGGAGAGAGCGAAAGGAGACAGCAGAGCCTTTGACGTAGGTTACGCGTTGAGAGTACATTGGTTGTGCAAGAACGAGTTTGAGTTCTTCATCAGGTTCCGCGGGGTGGAGGATTACCACGCGCGTGCGAATGGATTCGTGACCGTGATCCATGCTGAAGAATTCCCGAAGAAACTCGATTAGCTGCAGCGTACGGAACTCGCCCGTTACCAATACATGAGGTAACGTGTCTGGGTTCTTGAACGAATGCTCGTACTTGCTTTTGGATTTGATAAGCGTGACCAGAGAGGAGATCCGCGTTGGCATGAACAGGGCACCTCCGAGGATCACCAGAAGAACGATGATGCGGGAGAAAACCGTGTCGGGTACCCCAGCATTGAGGTTCATAGAGGTGATAGAGCCCACTGCCGTGAAGAAGAAAGCGTCAAAGAAGGTGAGCTTAGGGTCCTTGTGCGCGTGGACAGCCTGCTTGTAAGTGACGAGGTGGAGGTACGAAGCCAAGAAAGACAGCGTCAGGAGGATTGTAGTAGCCAACTGAACCGCCTTTCGTACGATCAAGCTCATGTGAGGTAACACCGTATCTTTCCCCAATGGCTTGTAGAGATGACTGAGGGACTCATGAAGCCTCACGAATCGGAAGGGATACAGGAAGATCAAGCTCCCGGCACTCATGTACGTCGTGTCAATATCTGGCAAGAAGACACCCCCGATAGACTCCGTTTCGTCGACGACCCATGAGACGAGCACCGAGAAGCAAGAGACCCAGGTACCATAAGCCCACACACTGGCTGAAAACCGCGGCCGATTTTCAGCTATCCAGATTCGCGGCAAGAACTGCAAAAAGATAAGAACAGCGAGGGCCCGGTCAATCCGTTTGCAAGGCTCAGGAAGAGCCTGTGGCGTGGACTCCTTTCGTGCGAACCGAGTATTGTAGATATACAGACATGCAAACGCCAACGAAAGTATCGCGTCGAACATTTCCCAAAGCCGTCCAAAGACATGAGAGTCCACTGTCAATGCAATGCGCTGCTTCAAAGTGGGTTTCCTGGTGCGGTGAACGTACGGCCCAGAAGAACGATTGGGCAGGAAGGACTCCACAGAGAGGAACCGCTCATGGTTATTAATGACTGGCAGCTTTGATGCAGACGGACTGGAGACAATTGGTAAGAGAGATTTGGGGAGGAAGAAGCGGCCGCCGGTAGCAGCGTCCTTCTTCTTCCGTTCACCTGCTTGGTTTGCGCTTGGCGACACCGAAGCTCTCCTCTTCAATAAAGTCGCCATGGTCGTTGCTGTTCGTCATCACTGCTACTATTGTTCTTATATTGGCCATGGTGTTGTGCACGGACCTCGAATGTTTTGGCTGAGACGGGGACGTTCATGAATTTGCCGTTTTGGGAAATTCGAACTCCAACCTTGTGGCTGCAACGTCGTCTCAACTTTTTGACCCCATCCAACGAAAATCCCAATGAGGACCAGAATACGATCGCTATTCTCGAAGGCTTCCGCTCAGCCATGGTTTTCAGACCCCACCTACCATCAGATCGTACAGACAAAGCCAGCAGCTCCTCTGCCGAACAGCCTGCCTCCTATACCAGAACACCTGCCTCGGCCATGGTATTTTAAGCACGGAAGGAGTTCACCATGGGAGGCTAAAATTCCATCAACGAACCAGGATCCATTATTGGAAAGTGGTGTAAAACATGCAAGCCGATTGGCGGCGCACTGCTTGAAAGAAGCGAGCAAGCTCGTGAAGCCGGGGGTGACAACTGAAGAAATCGATGATTTCGCAAGGGAATGGGCGTTTGCGAATGGCGCTGTTCCATCATCACGTACGTTTCGTTGGAAAACTCCGTGTGAACTCAACCGTGTACTAATGGATACTACAGTGAACTATTCAGGCTTCCCGAAGTCAATTGTACGTCACATCCCACTCTTTTTGATACACCGCTCCTAACCTCATCATCCCAAGTGTACTTCAGTCAACAATGTCGTTGCCCACGGCATCCCAGACAAGACGATACTCAAGGAGGGATCCATCATCAATCTCGACATCGCCCTCTTCGCCGCCCACCCCTCCGACCCAAGTGCTTGCTTTCATGGCGACACCTCCGCAACCTTCCCCGTCGGCCAGATCTCCCCACTCTCTTCCCGCCTCCTCGAAGCCACCAAGCTCGCCCTCGACGAAGGTATCAAGGCCTGTGGCCCTGGAAATCGCTATGAAGAGATTGGTCTAGCCGTCGAAAGAGTCGCTGAGGAACACGGCTACGAAATCAACACCGCACTATGCGGGCACGGAATCGGTCGAGAATACCACCAAAATCCTCTGATTATCCACTGTGGTAGGCCACCCTTTGCTCTCCTTTGCCGTAACATCATAATAAAGTTACTTTCAGCGAACGATAAGAGTAATGAGATCATGCTTCCTGGTACGATATTTACTGTTGAGCCGGTGCTGTGTGAGGGCGGTGCGGAGTTCTCGGTATGGAATGATAATTGGACGATCGTGACGGACGATGGGGGACGGAGTGCACAGTTTGAGCACACGATTATGATCACGGAGGATGGAGTTGAGATCTTGACGGATCTGGGAAAAGAAGAACAGCGAGAGGTCATGTACGTCCAATAAACGAACACAACTCCTAAAACATCAGACTACCTCTCTTATCATACTTTTATGACAAAGTCGTCATCACCAGCCAACTCCTGTCTCAACACACTCGTCAAAATCCACTCCGTAGAGTAAACCTTTGGATCTTCTCCTTTCGCACGGGCAGCCTTCACCAGCTTGTCCCACTGCTTCCGATCTTTCTCGATGCTGACAATGACCCTCTCCACCCCTTCCTCCTTCGTCGCCAACTGCCTTGCACTCGGCACGCCGATCTCCACCTTTCCCCCATTAGCCTCAATGATCCGCGTGGAGGGCTCGACACCACCCTTGATCCCCGTCGTCAAATGAACGATATATCCTTTAAACAGCGTTCTCTGATTCTTCCTCGCACGAGCGAGTGTGTCGGCCAGCTTACACTTATACTGCGTCTCCATCTTTTTATCCTGCAGGACGTACTCATCCACATCAACAATCTTCCGATCAGCCAGACACACTTCCAACCACTCTGTCGAAATGATGATAGGTGCGTATGGGATCGCTGACATGAACTTCTCTGTTCGGAGAATTCCTGGTGCAGCAAGGTGTGTACAGTCTGGTGCCGTACTGACGAAGTCAATGCCGAGTTCAGTTAGTTCGTCAACTTTCACATCATCCCAGTCTTTGTATCCGGTGACCATAACCCGAATACCAGAGGAGGGACGCGCAGTAGTACTGACACTCCTCGCCCTGCCCGTCCCATTTCCAGCGGCTTTCTTCGACGCTTCCGCCACAACAGCCTGCTTCGTCTTCTTGCTCTTCTTCGCTGGCGGCTGCTCTTCAGCTGGTGTCGATGACCTTGGCCTAAGAGGGAGCGGAGGTTCAACAATCGACGACGTCTTCCTCCTCTTCTCCTTCTCATACGCGACAACGTCGGGCATGATAACACTGTGTAATCTAGCAATAGCAACATCCGCTGCCTTCCTCTTCCCAGAACTCGGTGGTTCGCTGGACAGATGCGCTAAACGTCCCCTCGACGTTGGCGTTTCCTGGGGAAGTTTCGTGGTCCGTGGGCGAGGTGTGGGCGTATGTGCCGTTGCTGGAGACGTTAAATCTCTGTCCTTCAATCCATCGGATGGCAAAGCACTGGACAGCCCGCTCGTATGCGGCGCCAATATAGGCTTCGAGGGCTTTGTCGTGGTTGGCTCTTCCTCTTCATCGCTCTCCTCTTCGTCCTCGCTTTCCCAGAATTGACGCAGTGCTTCGCCGTCAATAGGCGTCTTATACACAACCTCCATCAAGTTCCGACCCTCCGGTAATGCAGTGAACCTACTCTCCGTCGGGCTCATCGGACACCACTTCGCATATGTCTCCTCCAACCAAAGATGATTCACCACGACTAATCCCCAACTTCGTGCATGTTCATATTTCGAGCCAGTCGGTGATGCAGTAATCAGATGCGTATTCTCGTTTTGTCGCATACTCTTCGTGAACTTCGCCCCCGAGGCAAGGACAAGCTGTTCGAGGTAGGTACGGGTATTGCCGGTGTAATTCGAGACCGTGATGACCATGTTCCTCATGTGAGGAAGTCCGCCTTTCACCTTGGGGTAGTGAAGCAGATGAACCCGCGGTGAAATCCATTGGGTGTGAGCGAGCATCCAATACAGCCAGATTAAGTTGCCCACAACGAGGTCTCGCTTGCTCGCGTCCACGAAGTCATCACCTTCTCGCCATTGTCCAACATACACATCTGCGTTTGCCAACTGGTCCACAGGTACACCGCCGGCATTCGAAATCGTCTGTTGCAATGACTGACGCAGATGCGGTGCCACCTCCCAATCCTTGGCCAAGAAGAACTTTCGACCGGAAAGGAAGGGACTTGTTGGTTGTGGAGGCTCACTCGGCAAACGGGATGGATCCGCATGCGTGTACTTCCCCTCCGCACTCGCCTCCGCTGGCGGCACCGGTGGCAGTGATCCATCCGGAAGGTTAGCCCCCTTGCAAATCTCCGGCACTTCCCCATCTCCCCCAAACAAATACGGCCCCTCCCCAATCCTCCTCCTCAACTTCAAACAATCATCAAACCAATGCGGTAACACAATTTTAATCCCCAACCCCGGTCTCGCCATCGCTTGCCTACATTTTTCATTATTGGTGGAAAGCGCGACGATGTGTGTTGTTGTTCGGAGGAGTTTATCGGTGTACTCGCCGCCGAGGGCTTTAATGCCTCCATAGATTGCGTCGCGGTCGCCGGGGGGAAGTTCGGAGCAGGTGACGAGGAGGCCGGAGAAGATCATGCGTGGGTCTGGAGAGTAGCATTGCGGACTATTGCCACTCGTTAGCTAGCAGTCATTTGATCGATGGAATATGCGCACTTGAGCTGCTTACTCCGCTGCACAGACGTCTCCACCCACTTCGGCGTAACAACCTCAACACCCCGCGCTTCACACTCCCTGAACTCCTTAAAATCAATATCCCCCGTAACGATATGCGTCAATTTTCCCAAATCAATCCCATCCGGCATATGCGGTGCTTCTCGTGCCCCATTACTCAGAAGTTTCTGTCGAAGCTCGGCGGTCCGGGCTTCGTCTATCGAGGGTTGACAAATATAGAAGACGACATCTTCGAAGATCAGCGGTGATGGCTCATTGGTAGCCATCGTGATCTACTGCTTGGACAGGGACCGTTGCGATAGGTTTGGAGTAGCACTTTCGCGGAGTCGACTTGGGGAAACGCGCCGGCACGCGAGTAAAGATCACGTGAAGACGGTAACGCGTAAGAAGGACATCTGAATAACCACCCAGAATTGCGGTATATCCATTACTTTGAGTGTCTATAGCCCTAATCCGTGGTATCTTATGCTCCCGTCCTGTTGCTCTCCAGTGCCCTAATCTCATTATGCACATCCGCAACTCCCGCACTCAAATTCATAAAGCTACTCTGCTGCTCCCTCAATGCACCCAACAACACCTCTCCCTTCTTATTCCCTTCATGCGTGTACTCCACCGTCTCCAAATGTCTTCCGATTTCCTGGATAACGCCTGCGTAGCCTTGGAGTCTGTACTCCATCTCTGTAGCTTGTTCGGCGAAATATTGGATCATGGGTTCTGCAGAACGGGGAATACCGCCTGTTCGGAGGCCATCAACGAGGCGGGTTGCGACTCGGGCGTTGTTGGAGTCGTTGTCCACGACTTCTCGGAGGGCGCGGAGAGAGGTTTGGTCGGTTGAGAGGAACGATTGTGTCGTGCGAAGTTTGCGGTTAACTTCCTGGACGTCGTTCAAGATGGTGGAAATGCTAGTATTCTGGGTAGGGAGACGAGCGGACAAGTCGTCCGCCAACATGGTCTGGGTGGCGATGAATTTGTCCATTTCGTCAAGAAGCTTTTGGGCATCGGGGGGAAGATCGGAGTATCGAGTGTTCAATGTGATATTAGAGGCGTTTTGCTGTTGCATTTGGGGCATCTGCTGCTGCTGCTGCTGTCCTCCGAACCCTCCGAATCCCATCGACTGAGTGCCTACCACCGGTGTCTGAGTTTGTCCGAACAGTCCGCCACCAAGGCCTCCAGTTGCAGACTGCTGAGTCTGCGACTGCCCAAACAATCCAGCACTCAAACCTCCGAACGCTGGCTGCTGAGCCTGTGTCTGTCCAAATTGTCCACCGCCAAAAGCTCCCGCTGCTGGCTGCTGAGTCTGAGCGGTTGCAAAGCCTGTCTGTTGAGGCTGCGTGCTACCGAAGTGCTGCTGCTGAGCCTGGGCACCACCGAACGACAAGGTCGGCATATCCGATCTTCCTCCAAACATATTCGTACCAGCACCGGCCTGCGCAGTTCCATTGAACCCCATTGCACCAGCCATTGTCGGCCGTGTGGTCCCTGGAGCAGCCCCGAAGCTCGGGGTAGCATTGGCCGTACTTCCCGCAGCTGGTGTAGAACCGAAAGAAAACGGACTCGCCGACGATTGAGCTGCTTGCTGACCGAACATTCTTGCAATTGGTCTCTTTTGTTTGTTGGTGTTGGTGTTGGTGTTTGGAGCAGCGTGGTGCCTGAACACCTGAAGTCCGGGGGTTCAGGTGAGGGCAGGCGATACCGACGGAACGAGAGTTCGTTATACGAAGGACAGTGAGCAATTCGCAGCAATGGAAGACGACGAAGATACCTTTTTGTATGGAGATGATAGGCAGGCTGGTAGTGCTGCTGAGTACTCGCCGCCCGCTGCGAACAACGACGCCGAGATGAAGGATGCGGAGACTGTTGAGAGGGCGGAGCAGGATAAGGATGGCGAAGAGGTGGATGAAGAAGATGAAGATGAGGATGATGATGACTCGGTACGGGACAGTAACAGCTAATTCAACCATGGCTAACATCATCTCCCGTACAGGACATCGAATTCGTGGTCGACGCAAAACCCGGGACAAGAGCCGAAGCACCCCCCTCAAAAGCCCCCTCTCACACACTCGTCCGAACACCTCTAAAAAAGGAAACTTCAACGTCGGATAAACCATCCTTAAAGACAGACCCCGACCTCACAGCCCCCACGTCCCCCTCCCAAACCCAAACAGGCCCGAAGCTAGACATCAACCCGCCCATCCCCTCGCACCTCAAAAACCCCGACACCGTCGAAGGCGACAAACCTTGGCGCGCACCCGGCGCAGATCCAAGCGATTACTTCAATTACGGGTTCGACGAGTTTACGTGGGCTGCGTATGTTGCGAAACAGGATGGGCTGCGTGAGGAGTTCAATCCAGGGAAGGTTATGGCGAGTATGATGCCGCCGGATATGATGGCGATGATGGGAGGAATGGGAGGGATGGGAGGGATGGGGGGCATGATGGGGATGCCTGGGATGGATATGGGTATGATGATGGGGATGGGTGGACCTGGGATGCAGAAGCCGGTGGGTGGTGTACCAGGAGGACCGGGGATGCCGCAAGGTCCCCGAGTGTCTGCACCTCCAGTAGACGGAAGAGGAGGGTATGTCGCGCTTTTTCCCTTTTTGGAAGTGTTCCATATGTTAACAAACGTGAATTAGAACACCCATGTCAGACGGCCACCAGAGACAACAATCTCAAACACCAGCCGGCCCTCCATCCTTCTACGATGGCACCCTCGGCGCACAATCAACACCAGCACCCAACATGCCCGGAATGCCTTCTGGTCCGGGTGCGGGTGGAATGCCAAATATGAATATGGCAGGAATGCAAGGAATGCCTCCAATGGGAATGGGAATGCCCAGTATGCCGAATATGCCAAACATGCCTATGGGCCCTGGGTTTATGGGTGGGAATATGGGGATGGGAAGAGGGAGGGGACAGATGCCGCCTGGCTTTGCGGGTGGGCCGCCGAGAATGGGAAGAGGACGGGGAGGAATGTACTAGGAAGACACAATGGATATCATCAGGATATCCATCAGTATATCCATCAGGATAGACGTAGGATTAGGGAATTGTGAGTGCGCTGGGCGGGACATGCACGTGAACTGCACTCCCGCTCGAAAACCCCCTGACCAAAACTCAAGTCATTGCTCTCCGCCAAAATACGTAAAGAAACGTTCAGAGATCCATAACGTACGATGTCGAAGGCTGTTCAGAAGACGAATGTACTGTTGAAGTTGCTCGTGCCTGCTGGTTTGTTGCCCGATCTGCGTTGCTGAGTGCTCAAAATGCTGACAAAGTAACAAACAGGTGGTGCTACTCCTCAACCTCCTATCGGTCCGGCACTTGGTGCTAGGGGTGTCAAGTCCATCGATTTCTGCAAAGGTCTGCAATAACCTTGCATGGTTTCTTCCTTATGGGCATTGCTGACAGCCATCTCCAGAATTCAACGCCCGCACAGCCAAACTCGTAAAAGGAACCCCAGTACCCTGCATCATCACCGTCCGCCCCGACCGAACATTCTCCTTTGACACAACCTCCCCACCAACCTCCTACCTCCTTCTCAAAGCTGCTGGTCTCGAGAAGGGATCTTCTACGCCTGGCGTGAAGAACCCGAAGGTCGGAACGGTTTCTGTGAAGCATGTCTATGAGATTGCGAAGATGAAGCACAAGGATACCAGGTTGCAGGAGCTGAGTTTGGAGGCTATTGCAAAGTCTATTGTTGGAAGCGCAAAATCGATGGGAATTGCTGTTGTTCCCTAGATGGTGGAGCATGGCTTGAGAGATGAAGAGGCGATCGCCATGGACCTTGCAATACGACAGTGGTGAGAGGAGGTTGGGTCGCGATGCAAAAGGACATATGGGAAGAGGATGTCTATACTGTGATTTTATACGGCGTCATTTTGGGATTCGGCATTTTCTTATTGGTTCATCAGTTGTATGATGGAGGCAGACAAAGGCAAGGCGAGGATAGAGAATACAACCACAGCGGTCCTCCTACAACGCACATCCACCCAAATCGTTATCAATTTCATACAAGTTGTTTCAACGTCTGTCTTTCTGAGTTACCCGGATAGACGGCCAGTGGATCGTCGCCTAATATACCCCGCTCCTGAGGTTTACTCCGGGGTAACGGAGAACTTCCAGTCCAGCAATCGACTGAGCACAACGTTTCCATCATTCAAACCAAAATCATAAGACAATAACCCATCGTAACCTTCACCGTCCATCCCTATCCTATCAAACCCAATCCTCGCGCAGCTCGTGCTGCAAGTTGGTGCTGCGCAGTTCGGGCCGATTTCCAATTGCTCTGCTGTAACGTCACATGTGCACTCCAGCAGAATCTTATCCACCGCAACAACGAATTCCTCCATCCCCGGCCACAGCTGTTCACCCCAGTCTGTCCGAGTCCGTCTAGGTCCGAAGATTCACATTCGCTGTTCTGACGTCTCGCTCCGGTTTGATCTATTTGCACGAGCTCGGTACGCACGGCACGAGTGCACGAGACAGCGACATTGCGTCTTCTTTGCCTCGCTTCCCCGACCCCGGTCTCCGATCCCGCATCGCAAGTTATTGTCGTGCCGAGTAACCGTCTACGTTACATACCGTATATAACTTGAGTCAAGTCTCACCATGTCGTCGACTACGAACAACAACAATCAAGGTCAAGGCCGCAGCAGCGGAGTCAAATTCTCACTCACGCCCGACATCATCGACTCAGGTGCTGCAAGCCCCATGGTCCCTCGCGAAGAACAAGATCGTTTTCGCGTTCCGATTGAACAGTTGGAGCATATGCGAGTCGAGGACCTGACGAGTAAGAGATTCATTCAGCACGGAGGATACGATACTGCGTACAGTTTACCGTGTAGTCGCGTCCCGTCTCTAGCGACAGATACTGAGACGCCGACGCCGAGGGAAAGTGCGTTTCCGTCTGCAGCAGGGAGTCGGCAGCCTACGCCTCCGCTTTCACCGGCTCATCTACCTCAAAATTCGCATTCGTTGCCTGGACCGTCTGCACTCCAGCGCGAACAGAATTTGCCGAAGCAGTCTGGGCTTTTCACGCCTGAAGATACCCTTGAGACACCACCAGACCCGGATAACCCATACAAGCGTTCTCGCCGACAACCGCAGTCTCATTCCCTTGCCGACATTGCGCCGCAGTTTATCTTCAAGAAACTTGCACATTTGGGTGATAGGAGTCGTAACTCTTCGCATAAGAGCTTGAAGAGTTTGGCGCACGAGGAGAGTTCTGGGAGTACGAAGACGCCGAGAGGAAGTAGTATGGATTTGAAGAGATTTTTCAAGATCGGGAATCATCACCATAAGCCATCCGAGAAAGATCTTCCCAAGGCGGCTCCTGCACCGATAAAGTCAAATGCGCCGAGTAACCTGCCGTTCGGAGATGATCACGCCGGTCTGTTCAGGAAATACGGAAAGTTTGGAAAGGTCCTCGGTGCGGGAGCTGGTGGGAGTGTGCGTTTGATGAAGAGAGCAGCGGATGGGACGACGTTTGCCGTGAAGGAGTTCCGTGCAAAGACGCCGTATGAAACGGATCGGGAGTATGCGAAGAAGGTTACGGCAGAGTTTTGTGTGGGTAGTGCACTACACCATCCCAACATTATCGAAACGCTGGATATCGTCAAGGAGCATGGGAAGTACTACGAGATCATGGAGTACTGTCCATATGATCTCTTTGCGATTGTGATGACGGGAAGGATGACACAACCTGAGATCAACTGCGCATTCACACAAATTGTCGCTGGTGTCGCATATCTTCACAACATGGGTATCGCCCACCGCGACCTCAAACTCGACAACTGCGTCGTAAACGAACACGGCATCGTCAAACTCATCGATTTCGGCTCCGCCGCAGTATTCCGCTACCCCTTCGAAGAAGACATCGTCGAAGCCCACGGCATCGTCGGCAGCGACCCCTACCTCTCCCCCGAAGTATGCGAACAAAAAACTTATGACCCACGAGCGGCAGATATCTGGAGTATCGCGATTATATTTTGTTGTATGACGTTGAGACGGTTTCCGTGGAAGGCGCCGAGGAGTTCGGATTCGAGTTATAAGGCGTTTGTGAGTCTGCCTGATGCGGATGCGATTTATGATCCTGCGACGAATTCGTTGCTCAATAACTCGTCGTCACATCTTGATCCGCATTCCTCGTCCAGGCCATCGTCTGCACGAACGTCGACATCGACATCGACATCCGTTCATGGCGCCGGAGGCGGTAGCGCTTCAGCCTCCATCAAGGGTCCATGGCGTCTCCTGCGACTATTACCCTATGAATCCCGACCACTCGTGCACAAGATGCTCGCGCTCGATCCCAGGAGACGGGCTACGATGGCGGACCTGAGGAGGGACGATTGGTTGGCGAATGTGGAGACTTGTACGATTGCTGATGGAAGGATTGTGAGGAGTAAGGGACATACGCATGTGCTTGTTGGCGCGAGTGAGGCTGGTGGTAAGAAGTGAGCTGTTGGGGAAGTTTGATGAGATAGACAATGCGGGGTTGTGGGTCATGGGGAGTGTACGATATATTGGAACGGAGCGTTTGCTATTTCGTGCACTTGGTTTGGCTTAGGCTTAAGTTTAGCTTTGGTGGAGTTTAGATGTGTTAGCAAATCTTACATGATCAGTGTAGCTGGGCCAGTCAACAGCGCTGCCAGAAATAAGGTGTCCTTACAGTAGGTGAGACTCGCAGTCAGGCGTCGCATGCCGTAACTCAGCTGGCTATTCCTGTCCACTTCTTTCATCATATGTTCTTTGTCAACCGGGCTCACCCTCCGCGTTTTGGACATGTGTCCCACGCGTATGTCAAACCGCGTATCACGCATACAACCCACAGCCGGCGCATTTATGACCAATAATCACAACCCGCAGGCCTCTTCCATAATGCCAAACGAGGCATCAGACGTCCTCTTTACCGATTATGCCCTCCTACTATATGTGCGACAGCATTCACTCGCCTCCGACTACCGTCTCGTCACTCCCCCACGCGTCGTCGCAATTGCAGCCCATGTAACAACCTCCCTCGAAGCTGCGCAAGAGCTCTTGGCATCATTCTCGGTGCTGAAGGAAGATGGACGGCTTAATATGAGGGAGAGGTTGGATGTTGGGAAGGCTGTGGTTAAGTTCTTGACGGAGGTGACGCGTGCGCCGGAGTTGAAGAGGGATGAGTGGGATATTAGGGAGGGAGCAAAGATCAGGTTGACGGTAGCCTTGCTGACGAGGAAGGCTGAAGAGGGGACGAGAACGACTTTGAAGAGGGCTGGACCGTATGCTATGGGTGAGGTGGTAAAGGGGGTGAGCATTGATAAGGAAGAGGAGGATGAGGAGGTTGCGCGGGGTGTGAAGGAGATGGAGGAATTAAAGTTGTCCGATCGGAAACTGGTAATGGGTCCGGATATTGGGGAGTTTTTGAGGAGTACGGTGTTGTTGGCGAAGGATGTTAAGGAGGGGACGGATGAAATTCCTGATTTCGAGAGACCGGTGAGCATACAATCCACCAATCGACTCTTTGATGTGTTTCTAACCTTTGCTAGGAGGTTGAGAAAGCACCGCTTACGATTGAAGTCCCTCTTTTACCTCGAGACCTTGTGACGACGAAATTTACGTTTTCTCCCGCCACTCTACCGGCTCTATGTCACTCACTTCCTCAACATGACCCATCAATATCAGCCCGCAATCATATCGAAGAGTTGCAAGATCTGATGGCGGCGGATGGTCTCTCATCCGCTTCGCCGTCCCTTTTTGAGGCTCCTCCTTCGTCCTCGCCAATTCCCACGTTCAAGCGACCGAGAGACTGGGCAGTGGAGACACCGTTGACTCCACCGATGAGCATACACAAGAAGAGAGTCATTGAATCATTCATAACCATAGCCGAACTAGGTTTACGTCCGTTACTTGATACGACTCTGCCTTCTACGCCCGACATCACGGCGGTACTTCCTACCAATGAAGATGGTCTCAACAAGAGGTTCGTTTTGAGAGAAAGACTGGACGAAGTTGATGGAACAATGAGAGTCGCCATGGCAGAGGAGAAGTTGGCGCCAATCTTGGCACACTTGCGTACACCTCCGTTACCTCTTGATCTTGCTGAACTCATACACCCTCCTCGGCGGATGAAAGAATTTGAAGCTAAATCTATCATCTCTTCAGCAAGCGGAGTGAAGAGTCTCAGTTTGGATCTGAGTTGGAAGCCGTTCACAGGGAAGGTAAGGTATGTGCCCGACGATGGCGGAGATGGCGAGGGGAGGATTGAGGAGGTGTGGGCTCCCTTCGTGGGCACAGTGCAAGAGGAGGAGGATTTCATGGATACACTGTATCGTGCCGCCGAATCAGATGGATTGGACGATGTTGGCGGAGCAGCTAGGTGTCAGGAAGATCTGCCTGAGGATTACGTGATGCTGGATGTACCGTCTGTGGGCGATATGGTGTCGCTTAGCTCCGGCCACAGTGTGGTATCTCGGCTTTCACCGGATCACAGAAACCACTCGCCAAGAAAGAGTTTCTCCAGGATATCACGGCCTGTCGAATCACCGATGAGGCCGGCTCCGGTCACAACGATGAACGGCATCGCCAACCCAGCAACAATGGAAGCTTTGCTATCCTTGCATATGTCGAGAAAAAAAGATACCAAACCGCAAGAGCAGACATTCTCAGCGGTCTCATCACTGCAGCGGTTCATGGTCTTGCGTGGTAAAAGAGATGCAGTTGAAGTGGAGTCTGCGCCCGTTCGCGTAAAACACCCTGGTGAGACTTCCAGCAAGGCACAACCTGCTCCAATTGTCCAAGATTCCCTCCTTGAGGATACACGAGCAACAGTGATACCGACATTGGAGACTGACGATGGAACTTTGTCACGAACTTGCTGGGTACTCAACACCTCCCTACTACGCTTCTCACGCCTGTCGCGGTTGCTCAGAGAGCTGAACCCATCGGTGCGCTTCGTCGAACGAGATCTTGAAATCTCCGAAGCCGCAGATAAAGAAATCACACTGGGTTATGAAGCCGATTTGACCCCTTCGCCAACGTGCGGCATACTCTTCATTACTGTGCAAACTCTGGTTCAGCAGCGGACAGGTGATGGCCAAGAGCCAGGGCCACTGAGACGAGTTCGCTATTGTAGCGCACTTTATGATAATGTTGAGATTGTCGTTGGATTGTCTGACAAGGTCAGCAGAAATGAAGCCAAAGCATTGGCAGCTTTTGCTGGTTGGATTGGGTCGCTGCAAGCCGGCAATCCTCATACTTCGATAAAGTGGTTATCAGCCGCCGGGCCTGAGGAACAGGCGAGGTGGTTAATATGGATTGCTCGGGCTTATTCATCAGGGTCTCAGGATCTGCAGATGCAAGAAGAAGAGACAGCGGTATGTCCTTTGTCAGCAATAGTTGGTTCCAGGCTAACCCCGGCCCCAGCACGAACGTTTCCTTCGTCGAGCAGGCTTGAATTGCTTTTCAGCATTGTTTATTCTCTCCCAAATGCCATTAAAACAGTTCGTAACTATCACCTACGCGGAACGAACGCAGTATTTTGGGAAATATCTGGGTCACTCAAGGCTGCAAAAGCTCACTGAACTGATGGAGGGCGCGGTGACAGAATCGGATGCATTTATAAGTAGTAATAAATTGAGGTGATCGGTTGATAGGAGTTTGATACGTATACGAGGTACAACATTTGCGTTGACAAGTCATCATGTTGTGTCTCATTCACCTCATCGAATCGTATTCCAAGTAAGTCACCATCCTTTTCGTCTTCCATCTTCCATCACTGTCAAGATTCAAGTCCATACTTGAAGTATCCACTTTGTATTGCCGTCACTCTGTTGCAGCTCTGTGACTGAACAACGACAATACTAGGAAGAGACTTCTCCCACGCATACTCTTGCTTCGAAAGCAAGTACGATTGCTACCCAGCATCAACCAAGTATGAATGGACACATTCGTTGCAACACTGTCATTACCGAGGTCTTGACACCGTATACAGCAATTGCGCAGTTTCCACATATCTCCGGACATGCTCCCCATCCTCTCTATCTCCATCCATCACTCCAAGCCACCGCTGCCCAGACTGTTAGTACTCAAGTGCATACCGAAGTATCCACTTGGTATTGTTGTCCCTCGGTTGCGACTTTTAGGTCCACAACTGAATGACAACAACACTAGGAAGAGACTTCCCCGACGCATGTCGCATACCCTTGCTCCGATAACGGCGGAAACACTGAGCACCCTGTAATGCCTGTACACTACAAACGTCACCAACCAGAGACACATTCGCCATAACATCAGCTATCTCGTTGTTAGATCAAGAAGGGCATTTGTCATCAGCCATGTCACGGTTCATCTTGTTAGTAGGTTATAAAAGGTATCGGTCGTCAGCCATGTAATCATTTATTTCATGGGCAGAGCATGAGGGTCTCAAGTGCCTTCGAGAACCCTTAAATACACTCCGGACTCCATCAAACTCGGGACATCGTTGGATTGCCTCTGGGGTGGTACACAGACGAAGGGCACTCGGTTCAAGACCTGAACCTCGTTATGCCATTGCACCCCACAGTCATCAAACGTGAAACGTCAAAGCTTCTTACATCAGCTTCGGACTCTACTTGCCGTTGTAACTCCATCGCATTCGGCCCATGATGATCACCCAATCCGGACTTTTTTATGTATTGTTGATGTGCTGTTGAGTGTGGTTGAGGGAAAGTTTGTGCTGAAGGTTAGTTTGAGCGTAAGAAACCTCTTTCACACTAAGGGGTCTAGCGCACCCTCGCCCAACCCGGCACAGGTCTCCAAGATCAACATCCCCAACCGCGATGCCGAGTAAGCAATCAAATTACCACACGTTGAGGACACCAAAACGACATCAATCTCAGATCAAATCCTTTCGGAGCTGACGAGGTGAGCATCATTACTGGAAGACCAAGCGGAAACTCCTTTGCGGAACCCCAATTATAGCACTTGCTCCAGTTGCTCACCAAATCCTTAAGTTCAGAGAATGAGCATATTACCGTCTTTGTAATGCGGTCGAGACGAGAAGGGATACTACAAGTACTTCGGGACGAGGTGTGACGAGATGACCGAATTACTTATTCGAATAGAGAGACGAATTTATTGAGTTAACCAGTGAAGCTCTAAAGGAAGGCATAGGGCCTTTCCTTATATACAGTTTTCCGGACGAGGGTCTAGACCCTTGCTCGGTGGCGTTCCACATTTAGTTAACTCGGTGGCGCCGAGAACAAGATCTCGAACGAGAGGAGTGAAGATAAGATGGGCCATGATAGGACCCGAGACAAATCGAGTCTCGGGTTGATCGCGAAACTCGAAGTAGTTCTTCGGTTCATGACAGTCTTGAAGGCTGTTAATCCCATGTCACCGTTGTTGCTGATATGTTGTCGGAGCACGGTGTGTGTAGGTAAAAGAGAGTTTCTGACGGAGACCAGGTGGGGGTATGGGAAAGTCTTTCGCACTAACGGGCCTAGCGCACCACCGCCCAATCCGGCAGAGGCATGGTAGACTGCCGTGGTCCGTCCACCACTGCAATAGTAGGAAGCAGCCATATATTCTGGATTATCTCCTGGATCCGCTCTATCTCACTAGTTATGATGCATCTTGAACCTCTCAAAGAAGGTGCGACATTGTAATGTCAGTCTTTCTTGTTGATTTTTTTCTCGCGCATAGCGCATGCGGAAGATCTACTGTGCCCCGCTCGAGCACAGATTGGAATCAGTTCATGACGGTCTCCACGCCTTGTCCCCAGAACGAGGTATGGCGTTCTTCTGAATTGTCTACAAAAGGGGCCCTTCCGCATTCCCAAAGAACCCACGTAGAATGTCGTTATTGACGTAGATGACACCATTGTACTTACCGACGATGTACTTAGCGAAATCTGCTCTGAAGTATATGGTGACAGACTCGCAAAGGAGTCCATGGCCTCGACCTATATACCCAGGATTTCGCGGACAGGTGAGCGATTGCCATCGGCTGCAATCATATACCGTGCTCAAATGATCCTCTTCGCACACGTCTCCGTAGACCGCACAAGAGCTGTGGCACCTTCATCATTTTGCTCCCGGATTATTGGTTCAAACATGTGCTGCGTCAAGAACAACCTGCACGCTGGACTGATCATCTCCACCTCCTTATTTATATCACTCAATCAACTCCCCAAAAATTTCCCTGCCAGACTCTCCACAGCAACAATCCCGGCATGCTCGCCGTACGCTTTCTGGCTCTCCTCTCGCATAGTTTCGAAGATACCCAATTGCCGCATGATCTCCATCGATCGAATGTGAAAGAGAGCTGCGCGAGGATGTTTTGCGGTGGAGGTATGTTTTTCTTAGCAAGCAGAGCGGACAGTGTCACGCCAACCATTGAGGAGCCAACGATGAGCACCGGTGTCTTTTCAATTGGAAGTTCAGTAAGTGAATTCATCGTGGAGCAAGTCGATCAAACGAGGAACGTTGCGAAGCAACCATACTCTTAGTCGAGAGGATTGATCCCTTTATAAGTAGCACGTTGTAGAGCGGTCAAAAGCCATGGCTACCACTGATAACGGAAATGACACCGACGGTAAAAGTATCCCATATCGTCCTTTATCGGCTTGAGCTCCAGGCCTCAGGAGCCGAGATGTGGGGTGCAGCCGACCCGTCAGCCTTGAATAGTGCGAGCCAGGGTCAGCCAAGTTTCTCGTCAAATTGTCTTCAATCCAGGTGCTTTTCTTTTCATTATGGGGTTCGATGTGATACGGCATGGAACGTTCCTGTCGCCGTCGCCATGTCGATGCAAACCGCTCATACGTGAGAGGAGTTTGAAGAGCAGAAGTACGCAAGTGTATACCAAAGTCCATTTGTATAATAACCCGCTGGGATGTTCGTCTACAGAGAAGCATAAGCGCTCAACGCAAGCATAAGTATGGAACCATTCCATCTACAACAAAGTCCGAAAACGCCTTTCACCTATCGCCATACTCGAACTCGATCGCAACCCCCTCACATAGGCTTCTCCGCGACGATGGCATACCTCTCAATCGTTCCCCTTGCCAAGAGCTGTAAACACGCGTTAGCTTCTTTCACGTCTGAGATAAGCCCAGGTTTACCGCAGCCTTCCATCCATTCCGAACCTTCCACGGTCTCCACTGCTCCTGGTTACACACGGGACTCCCCTCGGTCTCTCTGCAAAGAGCGTAGGCCACGCGTGCTTCTTGATCCTGTCCGCCATTGCGTAAGCCAAGTGATCTCTGTACATGACGAGAATAGACGTACCGTAATGTTCTGCACGACCTTCACATGCATCCCAGCCTCGTTCACTGCCTTCAACAACCGCTCAAGCGACAACAACGCACACGAGCTCCTCTCAAGCGGATAGTCCACAAACTCCATCGCTTCCGGAGTCCACTTAGGCAATATTGTAAGCTCCAACAACATCCGCCCACCAGGCGCCAGCATAACCCGGACCCTCTCCAATGTCGCCGGAGTGAGGTGCGAGGGATCACGGAGGATCACAGTGGTATACTGAGACGCAAGAGTGGACTTACGCAGAGCGAGGTCAGTCACGAAGGAGATGCGATTGACTTGTTTTCCAGCATATGCGACGATGTGAGAAAGTTTGTCTTGCGCGTCATCACGGTGTGGTTTGAGAACGTGGAGGTCCTCGAAGTCTATAAGACTTGTCAGTCAATGACACAATGCTACCTCAGCTGTCAACGGTACCAAAGTACTTGAGCAAATGCAGTTCGAAGAACCCGTCCGTAGGCGTGGCACACAAAATCCTATTGGTATGCTTGAGATCGAGCATGTTCGCGAGGCGTGTATGCTTCGTCAAGAGGGTTTGGCGAGCCGGTGAATTCGGCGTCAACTCCAGCGGAATGGCGAAAGTCTTGACAGAACTGTAGACTCGGATTAGAACCAGTTTTGGCACTCTCTCAGTTCTGTCTACCTCATAGGGATGTCTGCATGCCGGGCATGCTCGAGCAGGTTGTCAAGGTAGAAGTTGACGATTGTCCGCAGATGATGAGGATACCACTTAGCAAAGACCGACTGGTTTGCGCCTTGCCATAACCTGCCCATAAGTCAGCATACACCCGGCTTCGAACACGAATGCACCGCACGTCTCCCCCAAATCACCAAGACTAGCCTCCACCTTCCCTTCAGTCAAATGCCTAATCAACTTCCCAATCTCGATCCTTGATGTCACAGTCTTGTACTCCTCACTCTGCCAATGACTCGTCGTAGGCGTAAACAGATTCGACAAGGGGACTTTAGCACGCGGAACCCAGGCGAGATAGACATTATAGCAGAGCCAACAAAACATGAAGAAAGCAGAAGAGACTAAGAGCAAGGAAGACTTGTGTTCATCCATCCAGGCGAAGAGGATGAGGGCGTACTTCCACAGGACTTGGAAGACGCGGACAGCGAGATGTTCAAGGCACTCCACGGCTTTGCTGGCCTCAACACGGATGGCGGCGGCTGAGAGCTGGCGTCCAACGAATGTTGAAAGAATGCCATGGATCCATTCAAGGAGTCCTAAAGGTAAGAGCTCCATGATAAGAATGTTGGTGGTGCAGAACGTTGAGTGCGGCCGACGCGCTCATCCAGCTGGCGGTCCACTGCACAAACGCGTGGGGAACCGTGTGGGGCACCTCAGCCCCTGATTCCCCCAGGTTCAAGCTGACTTGACCAAACTTGAAGAATGGAAGGTTCAGCTGGAAGGAGTAGTCAATATTTCTTGGGCAAGATGTAGCTATAAGAGTATGGAAATAGTAGAAATCAGTTAGATGTACCGTGCGTGCCGTGTTCAGCGGATTCGAAAGAGATTAAGGTCATGTTGCGATTAAGATGGCCATAAATGTTATCATAATACTCTATCCCATAGCTCTCCTTCACGCCTGGGCACGCTCGACTGCGTTCAAGTACCCCACGACCCTCCTAACCAAATCCCTCCTCGGCTCCGCCTGATCATCATTACTCAACGCATGCGAAGCCCCCTGTATAATCCCACTCCACTCCGTATCCCAAACCTCCCTACCCTCTCCCCCGGCATCCGTTGCATCCTTCCACCTCAACATCAACTTCTCCTTATCGACCCACCCCGGGACAGCTTGATCCGCGCCGGATACCATGACCATGAGTTTGTAATTGAGGAGCTGGTGGGAGTGAATGAGTCCGAATGTTTGTTGCAGGTGGGTGTCGGGGAGGTCGGAGGAGAAGAGGTCGTCTGGGCGGGGGCAGTGAGGAGAGTCGGGGCTCACGAGGCTTAGGAAGCGACGGGCGCTGAGGGGGGTATTACCATACCCAATTTGACATGTCAACGACAACGGCAGCAACGACTCGCATGACTGATCACCACGTTCGAACTCCCTTGCCATGGTGAGGAGTTTGTCATACACCGCTTGACAATCAGCTGGAGATTTCCCCAACCATTCACATCCGTACTTCAATACCCAATGCATCGCTTGCCTATCGGACACCGGTGCTTGCATGATCGCTCCATCCAGCGGCAAACGCTCCTCATGCTTCAAATCTGGATCAAATACCGGGGTACTCGTGTGCGGGTTCGGTCGGTATAGGTAGTGCAATACCTGCTGACTCCCCGTCGAATGACCGATGAGCACGATCTTCCCATTCCCGTTGCCGTACTTGCTGGTCTTGTACTCCTTCACATATCTCAAGCAGGTCGCTATTTCGTCGGTATCTCGATCGAGGTGCCCGAGGCCCCATGATTGGTACGATGAGGATAGGTTCAGTGTGAAGAGGGACCACTCTGTAGGCTCGAGAGCACGGGCAATATCGGCCATGTAGGAGGTTGTGCCGAGACCATCTCCTAGACCTCCGATGAAGACGAGACTGTGGGGTTTGCGAGTGGTATTGGAGGTGAACTCGAATGTGGTGAGGGTCTCGGTCTACATCGTAGATGTTAGCGCAACTGAGTGTGGAGGAGAGCAGAGAGGAAGCGTACATAATGGTGCAAGATCCCTGGGAGGCCGCCCATGGGCCAGAATTTGGAGTACATCTTCGAAGGAGAACGGGAATGGTGTGATTGTAAGATGGAAGTGACCGTAATGGAACGACGGAAACGAGGATGACTCTTGAGTAAGAATAAAGCCGTCGTAGCCAACGATCCAGCGAGCAACCAGGCGATCTCAATCATGTCCGATCCTTGCACAATCTGTGGCAGGAGGAAGGCCCATTTCACCTAAGTGACCGCAGCTGCTGTAACGTCGAGGTGCAGCAGCTACGGGGAATGACTCGGGGCATCCTCTCGCCGGGGCAATTTCAACGCTAGCGATCTGACAAGCTGTTAGCCTCGGGTGACAGGCTAATCTGATCCAGGACGTCAAGCCACGCGCGCCAAGGGCAACAAGGCGCGATGTAATCTGATCTAGCCTCGGATCAGATACTCCCGAGCCCGACCGCAATACGAAGTTGAATTAAAAAAATGAGTGAATTATAGCAGGATTAAGTATACTTTTGTTGTCACGAAGACGAATCAACAGCCCCAATCATTCCCTTCACAGCATCCAACTGCCCATCATTCAACCCCCTAGAACAAGACTCCCTTGGTTTGCGCCTTGGTCACCTTCAAGTCCTTCACCAAGAACATCCAGAAGAGCGAAAGCGCCATGATACAGGTACCAGCCGTCAACATCCACTTCTGCGAAATCGCATAAGAGTCACTGATAGCATCACGCGCCGCCGTACCCCTCTCGTAGCCCAATTGAACATCAAGCGAATCGTAGATGTCCTCCCAACTGTCCACAACGTCGGCAGGAAGAAGACGCTGCAAAGCGGCGGGCAAAGTGTGCGTCCAGATGGCTCCAGAGATAGAGCTTCCGATAGCTCCTCCCATGTTACCGAAGACATTGAGGAAAGCGAGCGCGGAGGCAGCATTGTTGTGATCCGCGACAGCCAAAACAGCGACCTGTTGCACGATAATCATCGTACCACCAGAGAACGCAAGGAAAACCTGACACATGATGTTCCACCCCACCGACCAATGCGGCTGACGGAAGTAAATCATCAATCCCTCACCGAGAAGGTAAAGTGGCACAGACCAAAGCAACAACCACCTAAACCTCCCCGTCCTCCTGATCGAGTACCCGACAACCAAGAGCCAAACACCAGAAACAACGTCGAAGATACTACTAATATACCCCGCCGTCTCAAGACTAACACCGTACACAACCTGCAAATAACTCGTCCAATATCCATTCCAACAATAATAGGCGATTTGGTACGTCGCATCAATCAAACATGCACCCAGGATGGTCCTCGTCGCGAGCATTTCCCACGGGAGGAAAGGCTTGGGAGCGACCCAGTGTTCGACGGCGGCGAAAGCGAGAAGGCAGGCGATTCCGAAGACGAGCATGATGATGATGTGCGCGGTTTTCCAGTCGTCGGGGGCTGAGCCGGCGAGGTTGAAGGGGAGGAGGAAGAGGACGAGGCCGGCGGTCAGAAGAATGACACCCAAGACTGTACCCGGGAGGTTAACAACCAGAATTGACATGAAGCCGTAGGAGAGAACTCACGATCGAACTCGATAACGTAGTGCTTGACATGTTGCAAAAATGTTCTGCCACTGGGCTCCTTTTCCTTCAACAAACCTCTCTTCTTCGCCAAATGCCTGTTGTACCTCAACAAACAGAACATAGGCGCAGCAACAACGGGGAGGATAATAGCGAAGCATCCGTATCCCCACCTCCAGTTCGACTCGTAGAATCGCGCAGCAGCTGCAGGACCAGCGTAAGCCGTAATGATGTACGGCGACGATGTAAACGCAAACGCAAGACCTCGATCCCGAAGCGACGAAGTATCAGCCGTAATAACATCAACACAAAAAATCAACCCATAAAACCCGATATTATAAAACACCTGGGCAGCACAATACGTCCCAATCCCAGTACACGTCGCACTCAAAATCAACCCCAACACCGCGAACACCACCATCAACATGAACCCCACGGACCTATCCCAGAGGTTGAGGATTTTGGCGACGGGCATGTAGGTCGCTGCGCCCATTACGGAGGCGACGATGTCGATTACGGGGAGGAGGGAGTGGGATTCGAAGTCGGAAGTGATGTAGGCGGAGAGGTTGTAGGTGATCTGAGATTGGAAGGCGTTGACGAGGTAGAGGCACCACATGCTATCGATCGCATTGTCAGTAACTGGTAGGTAAGTGGAGAAATAAGAGGAGGAGTTGAACGTACAGGCCATAGGCAGTAGCCAAGGACGTCTTGGTCCATGTCAAAGTGATGGCTTCAGCTTGCGTGACACCATCTTGTGCAGCCTCGTTGGGCACGGCTTCCTCCGGCAATTGATCCTCGCCGACGAACACCCTCCCTGGGGCCTTACTGTCACTGACGCCTTGCTCGGCGGATCCGTGGGTGTCGAGGTTGTACTGAGGAACATCGGTACCAGTGGAGAAGCCACTGTCCGAGGTTGGCTCTGGGACAGGAAAGAACTTCCTACGGAAGGCCGCAGCCGCGTTGGAGAACTCTTTTCCCATGCTCTTGACTGTGTGAAGCGTGTCGTCTACGAGCAATGGCAACAGGGAGTGGACGACCGGGCAGACCCATATAAATACTTTTTTTTCGCAACCCCTCCAGGCTGCCCGTCGTCCGCCGAGGCTTGCAAGGCGATGAGCTCGGCCTCTGCCACTCCTAAACGAACACATTATCTTCCGGGATCAGATCGATCAGATTACGCCCAACAATGCAGTCTTCAAGCCAAGCGAGCCATCCACGCTCCCCGTCACATTGAAAAAATCATGGGATCCATGCTTAGGCTTTGGGTTAGGGCAGCCCAATGCAACGCAGTAAGACCCGGGTGCGGATCAGATAAGATTAGTCCTGCGAAAACGCGATCTAGGGTCACTAAAGAGGCCTAGGGAGTAGGGTCGGTACGAGATCCGGTCTGGGTACCGGTGCAATGGTAGCGGACCTAGCTGGGAAGCCAAACAGCCTGGCCTCGGCTTTTAGCTTGGCGAGAATTCCCCGAGTGACGCTTAAGGGTCCTTGAAGACGGAAGCTCTCGAGGCTGTTTGGTCGCCCGCGTAGGCGCAAGCGCGCGCTTCGTTGCGTCCGGACTTCGGCGATTTTGTTTGCACGAGGCGCCCTCTGCAGACTCAATGCACCCTGATAACCTTAACCAACAACAACGACATCAACACATCAGGCCTCCCTCGCAGTCAGTCAGTCGCCTATTCACCTGTTTTCACGTCACGTCTCGTTTCTTTTCTGCTTCGCTCTTCTTTTTGGTGTTAATTACCGGTCTCCTCAGCATTCATGGATCAGATCCTCAAGTGCAACCACCTCCGATGCAGGGCGGCTTTGGGCAATCAAGGAGTCGTTACGACGTGTTCGCACATCTTCTGCGTTGATTGGTGGATTTTGACAATAACCTCGAACCCTAAGTTCGAGCTGATTGAAGTCTACAGTGCGAACCAACTCTTCACCGCCGACAGAACGTGTCCTGCTTGTGAGACGACGCTTGGTGAACCGGATGTATGCACCGATATCATGCCTGAAAAGCACATATACTGACAGTCTGTGAAGGACGTCGTATTGACTAATCTCAATCCCACTGAGTAAGCTTTTTCCCCCGATGTATGCTGGTTACAACCTAACAATGGTATTCAGTGACTACAAGACGGTGAACAGGAATGTTTCGAACACTTGTTCAAGTAGCTAATTCGTTCACAGAGCGTCCTTGCAGGTCTTTCTCCGAACATCATTGTGGAGATATGCAGCCGTGCTTTAAGCTTCTGGACGTACCAAGCTACTCAGGAGATGTGCGGCATCTAACTTTTGCACTACTACCATTGTTAACGACTATATGCAGCGTGTACCAAGAGTTCATGTCGAAGACGCTGCAGGAGAAGTATGGTGCATTGAATGCCCAGATGGATAGTGTCGTTCGAGATGCGAACAACGAGATTACCGGTATGCACAACCGTCCTCGACTGAATGATCCATCTAACGTGAACTATAGCTTTGCAAGAGAAGTTGGAGACTACTAAGCAGCAACAAGGCAACGAGAAGAGGCGTAACCACGAACTCATCGAGAGCTTGCAGGACAAGTCGAGGCAGTTCAGCAAGCTACAAGTGAGGTCCTCCTTTGTTTCGCTTTGGATCATGACTAACTGATGACCGTACAGCTCCTCTACGACAAACTCAAACGCAAGGCTCTCCTCTCCCCCATGCAAAACGCCGCAACCCAAAACATCGACGCAGCAGCGTACCAAAACATGCCCACCCACGCCTCACCACCCGCCGGCAAGATCTCTTTCCCTGGCCCTCGTGCCTTCGCTCCCGACAACAGGCAAGAACAGCAGCAACCTCAAGACTGGTCTCAGGACGGTCCGGTTCAAGTCGCGCAGACTCCTCGTCCGCATCACAACGTCGGGAATCCGAGGAATGCTGGGAGGACGCCGTTGGCTGCGATGCATGGGAATACCCCGTATGCCGGACGTCCGAGGGGAGGGAGTGGTGGGAATGGTGGTGGGTTGATTAAGCCTATGGGGGCCACGCCGATGGGAGGGAGGGGGAATCCGGGGTTGATGAGGCCGAGCCATACGAGGACAGGAGGAGGAGGAGGATGGGGTGGGTAAGCGCTACGCAAGGACGAGGTGAGCACGCTATCTGAAGGAAGCGAACCATGGACGTCAAGTATGATTATGTATTGACGATGCTCTTCTTTATTATTGTGTAAAGCAACGCGACGTTGTATAGTATCATCTAAAGAAATACCAATCGCGCAAAAATCAAACTCCGCCAATTGAACGCCCTCTTTCTGTGAGTATTTCAGTGTTCGATCTTTCTCGACCCTCTCATCTGCAACAATGTATTATCAGGCCCATCCTCCCTCCCACACTCCACACAAATCAACCTCGCAAAGTCCTTCTGTTCCCAATAACACGAATGCGCATAGATCATCTGATAATACTGCGAATCTAACACACCACCAGTATTAGGTAACACAAAATCCACCTGTCCGTTATCATTTAACGCCCTCAACCTCCTCTCCGCCTTTGCCTCCCTCGAGAAATCATGCACTTCCAATTCTATAGTCGACGGGAGCCTCCGACCGCCTCCAGGGCGAGGATCCTCACCCCCAGCCCCCGTAATCGCAACACTAGCGTTCTTGATCCCATGCGCCAAACTCTCCATCACCTGCGTCCCCCCAACACCGGGAACGACGGTCGGCTTCAACGTTTCCGCATACTCCTTATCCACCGTCGGCGCCAGCCTCATCGCAACCGGATCAGCAGAGTGGTAAATATTGTACACGTTTTGTACGGCTGGGCAACCGTATTTTCCGGGACCGTCGTGGGATTCGGACCGGGGGAGGTTGGCAGTTTTGGGGGTGTTGGGGTTGGCGCGGGGGATGAGGTTTGCTTGGTTTAGGAGCATAAAGAACCCGACGGGACTTCCGCAGAAGAACAGATTGTGCGTTTCGAACTCGAACTGATCGGTACTCTCCTTTCCCTGGTCTTGTCGATCAGGCGTCCACACGTCCGTCTTGGTCGGCTGTCGAGATAAAATGTCCATACTGATTGCACTCCCCAAGGAATGGCCAACAATATGCACCCTCCCCCCTCTCTCCACAAACCCCGGATCGTTCCTTATCCACAGCCTCCACACCCGATTTGCCTCCCCCACCACAGCCCTCGTGATCCGATCCTTATGGTGTGACAGATAGTATGGGATGTCAAGCATCACGTCAGCGATTAACCCACGCACCGCTGGGATCCCTTCGGGGGTGATGTCGTTTAGATTGTATTTCCCGCCGAATTCTTCGGTGCCGCCGACAGCTTCGGTCTCGTCCTCTTCGCCCCTCTCGGCGTCGAATACCAGTTTCTGGCGCCAGTTGACGGGGAGGACTTGGGGGTGGTAACCCTCCCGAACATGCGCACTCGCTGCCCCAAGCCTTTCCTCTTCGAGGAGGATGCGAAAATGGTTGATGGCATGCGTGAACGTAAAACTCTCCACCCTCTCAGAGAGTTTCTGTCCAATACCATGCACGACCAAAATCAAATCCGTCACGGGCGCAGGCGTCGGATCCTCATCGATGAGTTCCGTCGCACTCGGTTTCAACTTGCTCTCGACACTCATCTCGCTAGGAGACATACTCGGTCTTCTCGTCCCGTTCGTCCTCGCACTCGCAACACTCAAACTCCTGGTCCGTGCCCTTGCCCTACTCTGACTTTGCTTCGAAGACTTCCCAGCCTTGGTAGGGGAAGTATAGTCATACCCTCTGACAATTCCAACACCCACAGGACCCCTCCCCCTCCCCAAGCTCCCCAACAGACTCTTCGCCAGACTCAGCTTCCCTTGATGGAGCATAATCCACGCCTCCCTCTCATCCGTATATATCACATAACGATTCTTTAACAACGGATCCACTTGTAACTCCTCAACGGCTGAGGGATCGGTGGAGGACGGGTGAGAAGTGGAATCGAGTTCATATCCGAGTTTATGCTCAGCCTCCTGCCCCACCTCCTTCGCAGCCGATAACTCAAGCGCATACACGTCTGTATAAGGCCGAATAAACCGATATCCGGCTTCCAATGCCTCCTCCAACACTGGCTCGATAGGAAAGTTTGTCTCGGCATAAAACCACGTGGCACGGATGACTTGGCTGTGGTCTGTCAGTGTTGCGAGGGGAGACCAATAGATCGGCTCCAGCGTCATGGTTGGCAGATGGACTTTGTGGAGGCGGGAGATACCGACGACAACTTCTTCGAGTGCTGATTCCGTGCCGGTTTGGCCTTCATTTGTGAGGTTCGGTGTATCTTCTTCTTCGGGTTTCTCCAGCACCGCAGCCTCCTCCTCTGCCATGACATCTTCCGCAGTCTCCGGCGGTGATGCAGGCTCGAACCGGCCGAAAGGATTAACTCTCTCCCTCTTTGGTGTTTTCGTAATGATCAGTCTCTGTTTCGCCTTTAGTTTCCGCTTCTCCTCTTCCACCTTCTTGATTTCTCGCATTTTCTTCCCATCCCTCCCCCTCCCCTCCTCCGTCCACCTCCTCCATCCCTGTTCCAAATCCTCATTGTCCCTGGGCGCAAACGGCGTCCACTTGATCTGTGCATGCGGGATATCTTTCAGTGATGGTGGTTGGCTGGTTGGGTAGGGTGCCAGGGGGTCATTGAGGTCGAGGGGGGAGCAGTGGAACCACCATTGGCATGGGGGAGGGATGTCGGAGGGGTCGGTTAGGGTTGAGAGGACGCTTTGGTCTTGATCGAAGTGATCCATGGCTATGGTGGGATTTGTTTGTTTGGAGTTTTTGTTTGCTTAAGGGTTCTTGCGGGATGCAGCCAACGTCACCTTGCATACTGCTGGTTGCAAAATGCCTGTCGCAAACTGCAGGTAGCTGCACATGCTCCGTAAGTC